TCTTGTATACCTCGCGATTGCTCCCTAGAGCGTAGCCCCTTACATTTTGTATTCGATCCCAATTAGACACAAGCCTTAGGCGGACTGTCTTCTGACTAAGCTTCAGAACGTGCTATTAGCATAAGCTAGTAACACGGAGTTGGTGCTGTAATAGGTACGAAAGGCCTTAGCGCAGCGAGTAGGTGGACCGTCGCAAGATAGTACACCTAGAGCAGAGCTTCGCAGGAAGCTTAGCCGTGAGAGACAGTAGGCGAAAGAGTCGCCCAGGACCTGTCAGAAGCCCTACCGTGTCTTGGAAAGCCGAGCCGTAGGCGCAACGTCGCGTAATAAACTACCTGAAGGCCACTCGGGCCTAGCGTACAGTTAGCTAGAAGCGGACGTTGTAGTGAGAAAGTCCTGTTAATCCTCTATCGGACGAGGTGCAGGCCGTGCGATTACTCTCAATCGGAGACGGGATCCCACGAGCGAGACGGCAAGACGCGAGTCTTCCTAGGGACGCGACGCAACAGCGATAGAGCGCTATTTAGATTCCGGCTGGTAATAAGGACAGCCGAAGGTAAGCCCTACCAGTCCTCGCCGACGAGGAGTAGGCCGCAGTCCGGGACTGCGCGAGCAGATCAAGAGACGATCAGAAGCCACACGCGACGATAAGGGGGTACTCGATAAAGTTTCCTTAGAACCCCCCTAAGAACAGTATGATGGAGATTAACGTTCCTAACTTGAACGTAGAAGAGCTAGCGGCGTACGCTACCGCTAAGAGCCAGGCAGGAGTCTCGGACGAAGAGATCCTGCGTGAGATCACACAAATGCTGAGAGAGGACGGGTGGAAAGAGGCAGCGATTGGCCCAACAATTGAAGCAGTTGTAAAACGGTCAACGGTGGTAGGAGAGAGGAGCCCGCCAAGGCAAAAGAGCTCACCGAAGAGCGACCAGAGCGCCATAGTTCAGATGATGGAGTAGATGATGCGACTCCTTGGCCCGATAGTTAGTCGTTTAGAGGCACTCGAACGGAACCAAGCCGAAGGACGCTCGGAAGCCTCCTTAGGAGTCAATACCCCACCACTACCGCTGACAACAACTGCCGAGCTAACGGCCCGCAAGAACAAGTTCCTAGACCCAGAACGTTTCGATGGGACCCGTGAGAACTACCTAGGCTGGAAGTTCGAATGCGAAGGGAAGCTAGAATACGACGTTGCTATGTTCCCAACGGAGGACTCGAAGGTTCGATACGTGCTTAGCCGAACGAAGGATAAGGCAAACCAGGTCCTTCTTCCCTGGGTGCTTGAGAATAAGGAGCGAACGACCGCCGGACTATGGGAGCATATGGATACTCACTTCCAAGACGTCCACTAGCAGCAGCGAGCTCTGAATAAGCTTCGACACCTAAAGCAAGGACGACGCCCAATACGCGACTACGTCTCGGAGTTTAATCAACTCCGCGTAGAGTCCCGACAGACGTTCAGTCCAGCAGTAGCTCGTGAGATGTTCAGCGAAGGACTTGGAGAGGAACTCTAGAAGCTAATGCTCCATACCCCTAAGAATAGGAGTTTAAAGGAGTATATGAACAAGGCAATCGAGCTTTCCAACGACCTGTATCGGATCCAACTGCATAGAAGGAACTAACGGAACGTAGCCTATAATCACGCGCAAGCATCTCCAAAAGCTACCCGGCGAGAGAATAGCCCAGAAGCGATGGACTGGGAACCCTCAAGAGTCAATCGAGCACGAGAGAAGACGAGTAGGCCAAGACGACCTCCGCGGGACTGCTATAGCTGTGGAGAGCCAGGTTATCTAGCCAGGAACTGTCCAAACAACGTTCGGGTCGAGAGAGCTAGAGCCCTCCCTAAGAGCGAAAAACGGAAGCAGCCAGAAGAGGCTGAGGACCTAGCCAACAGCGACTCGGGAAAAGAGGAGCTCTAAGCCAGAGTCTCGGCTTAGAGCCTCTAAAGATGGATCGGCAGACAAGTAGCGAATGGAGTTAATTTCAGCGAAAGCACATACGTCCCCCGCCAATTACTATAGATCTAATTATGAACAACGTAGTTAACGCTACGGCACTAATCGATTGTGGATGTCTCTGCTACGCACTAATTAACAGAAAGTTCGCTTACCGCCACTGTCTAGAGCGCTTTCAGATCCCTACCCGAATAATTAAGGGAGTGAACGGTAAGCTGTTAGAGATCAACGAGGTCGCCCGATTCTCGTTTAAGCTGCATAGGTACGAAGAGTCTGCCTATGCATATGTAATGGATTTGTCCTCTGGCGAGGACGTCTACCTAGGAAGGGGGTGGATGGATCACCGCGATGTGACGATAGCCCCCGCGAAGAAGAGCATCTTTATCCACTCGAAAGGCATTCGAGTGCGATCAACAGAGGGGACCCTATAAGAAGAAGTCCGACGCGTGAACGCCGCCGCATTCGCAGCGCTACTTCGCCAACACAAGAGCGCTCCGAATAGCGTTCAGATCTTCGCCGCGTCGATCGCGGATATCGACAAAGCGTTACAACCAAAGAAGCCCGTGGACATACGAGCGCTGCTACCAACGCAGTACCAGAAGTTCTATGAGCTCTTTAACCCAAAGCAAGCAGAAAAGCTTCCACCACATCGAGGGCCAGGGGTGGACCACAAGATTAAGTTAGAGCCGAAGGACGCTCAACCACTATAGGGACCCCTCTATAGCATGTCGCGCGGAGAGCTCCTAGTTCTCCGAAAAGAACTTACGTCACTTCTCAAGAAGGGATTCATCCGTATAAGTAGCTCACCAGCCGCTACGCCAGTGCTATTCGCGAAGAAGCCGGAAGGAGGGCTCCGATTGTGTATCAACTATCAAGCCCTGAATGCGATTACTAAGAAGAACCAATATCCACTACCGCTTATCCGAGAGACGCTTAATAGCTTAAGCAAAGCTAAATAGTTTACAAAGTTAGACGTTATCGCGGCCTTCTATAAGATCCGCGTCGCACCAGGCGATGAGTGGAAGACGGCCTTCCGAACGAGGTTCGGACTATTCGAATAGCTAGTTACTCCATTTAGTATAGCGAACTCCCCAAGCACCTTCCAACGATATATCAATTGAACCTTAAGAGAGCACCTAGATGACTTCTGCTCAGCCTATCTAGACGACGTGCTAATCTATACTAACGGCGATCTGCGCCAGCATCGAGAGCATGTCCGAAGGGTACTCAGTAAGCTTCAAGCCGCAGGGCTACAGGTGGATATCAAGAAGTGCGAGTTTGAAGTCAAGACAACTAAGTACCTTGGGTTTATTATCGAAGCGGGCAAGGGGATAAGCATGGATCTAGCTAAGGTAGCCGCAATCCGCGAGTGGGAGGCGCCGAGGACAGTAAAGGGAGTAAGATCGTTCCTAGGATTCGCGAACTTCTACCGAAGGTTTATTAAGAACTTCGCACAGCTAGCCGCACCCCTCACGAGGCTCACGGGTGACGTCTCTTTCCAATGGGGAGCCGAAGAGCAGTCAGCCTTTAAGAAGCTAAAGGAGATCTTTGTCACAGAGCCAACGCTGGCGGCGTTCGACCCGGATCGGGAGACAGTACTCGAGTGCGATTCGAGTAGCTACGCGGTAGGCGGAGTGCTATCGCAGTACGGCGACGATGGAGTCTTACGACCATGCGCATTCTTCTCGCGGAAGAATAACGCGCACGAGTGTAACTACGAGATCCACGACAAGGAGTTACTCGCAGTAGTACGATGCCTTGAAGAATAGAACTCTAAACTACGTTCGGTCGAGAAGTTTAAGGTGATCACGAATTATAAGAACCTAGAGTACTTTATAAAACCCCGTATGCTAAACGAGCGTCAGATAAGATAGTCACTCCTACTTGGCAGGTATAACCTAGAACTGCTGTATCGGCCGGGTAAGTAGAATGTAAGAGCTGACGCGCTCTCGAGAAGAGAACAGGACCTACCTATAGAGGCAGAAGACGAGCGCCTACAGAAGCGCTTCGTGCAAATATTCAAGCCAACGAACTCCTACTACGAGAAGTTAGCCGAGGAGAACTCGGACGGCAGAGCTCTAGTGATGGTCGCGAGACCACAAAGAAAAAAAGAGACAGCTAGCACGACTAAAGACCAGTCGGACGTACTAGAGACATAATCCCAGCAGGAAGAAGACACTCCTCCGCCGACTAAAGATAGTTCAGACTAGTCTCCTTCCGAAGAACCAGAGAAAGGAGAAAGAACGCAGCGGAACGAGCTAGAAGAACTCTAGAAGGAGGCGGCAACGCAAGATCGAGTCTACCAAGAAGCGAAGAAGGCAGTAGAGGACCAAGAGCGACGTTTCCCCGCGAACTTAGACCTAAAGTGCTCAATTAAAGACTGCTCAGCAGACGGTAGAGTCCTGTTTTACCAAGAGCGCAAGTAGGTGCCAGACAACGACGAGTTGCGAACGGCAATTATTAGCAGCGCCCACGACTCACTAGTCACCAGTCACCCAGGGCGCGAGCTAACTTACAAGATACTCGCAAAGGACTACTTCTGGCCAAGCATAACCAATTCGATCCGAAGATACGTTAGAAACTGCGACACCTGCGGACGGAGTAAGTCCTGGAGAGAGGGCACGCAAGGCCTTCTAAAGCCACTACCAATACCTACTCGGATCTAGAAGGAGATCTCTATAGATTTCGTTAAAGGGTTACCAGAGAGCGAGGGCATAACTAGCCTGATGGTAATTACCGATCGGCTTAGCAAGAGCGCGATCTTCGTACCTCTTCCGAACACAAAGACTAAGACAGTAGCCCAGAAGTTTATCGAGCGAGTAGTTGCGTACCACTAGATACCAGATACCATAACCTCCGATAGAGGCAGCTAATTCGTAAGCGCCCTGTGGGCGAGACTATATAAGCTTCTAAAGATTAAACGAAGACTGTCAACTACCTACCACCTACAAACCGATGGCGCCACAGAAAGAATGAACAGCGTCTAGGAGACCTATATCCAATCTTTCACGAACTAGGCTTAGGACGACTAGGCACGACTCTGCCCAATGGCCCAGATCACCATCAATAGCAGAAACGCAACGTCAACAGGCATGTCACCATTCTTCCTTCAGCACGGGCACGAAGTGGAGCCGCTGCAGCTAGAGCTAGAAAATAAAAGACGACAGCGGAAACCAGCCGAACAGCTTTCGGACGAGCAGAAAGCAGCAGAGATCGCGGTCAAACTACAGCAAGCTATAGAACTAGCCCAAGCAGGAATGGCAGTCGCTCAACAAGAACAGAAGAGACAGGCGAATAAGACTCGGAGAGAGGCACAGAGCTACTAAGTAGGCAATAAGGTATGGTTGAAGCTCAATCAGCAGTATAGCACAGGGCGAAGCTCTAAGAAGCTCGACTAGAAGAACGCTAAGTACACAGTAGTTAAGGTAATCGATAGCCACTCAGTTCAACTAGACACGCCGCCAGAACCGCACCCTGTTTTTCATATCAACCAATTAAAGCTCGCTAGCAACGATCCTCTCCCAAACCAGGTTCAGGATGACTATCAGCCACAGCCGCTGCAGGTAGACGGAGAAGACGAATAGGAGGTAGAGAACATTATAGCAGAAGAGGTACGCCGCCGTAGAAGAGGGCGTAAGCTATACTACGAGGTGAAGTGGAAAGGGTTCCACCGAACGACGCTCGAACCAGCGGAGCTACTAGAGGACGCTGAGGTAGTAGATCGTTGGGAAGCGTTCACAGAGACCAAACGAGACAGCGAGGGCCGCCTCCCGGAAGGGTTTCGGAGAGGCGATGCGGTATTACCCTAAGGAGGGGGGTATTGTAACGGGCTGAACGCCCTTTGGATAGCTCCTCGATGGAATCTCGGCCTACTCGCAGAACCCGGGTGCTGTCTCGAGCACCCGGATTCTCTGCGCACCGCCCGAACGACGTTCAGACGACAGCCGCAGGACCCAGAAGCTGCCTCGTGCACCTAGACTTCACCGGTCCGATTGTTACTCGGGTAACCAGCTTGTATATAGACAGCTACGTAGCTTGGGAGCTTAGCTCCTCATCGAATACAACCTCTTGTATACCTCGCGATTGCTCCCCAGAGCGCAGCCCCTTACAATACGTACCAAGATGTTTTTAGTAAAATAGCCGCTAATTAGCTACCAAAACATCGCCAATACGACTATAAGATCGTTCTTATAGAACCCCTTCTAAATTAATTTAGTTCTCTCTATAAGTAGAGTACTAAAGAGCTAAAAGCTATAAAGACTTTTATAATAGAAAATCTCTAAAAAGAGTATATTAACTTAAGTTACAACCTATTCGCCTTCCTTATTCTATATGTTTAGAAGCCTAATAGAGACCTCCGCATCTATATAGACTACCATAAGCTAAATTTAATTACTTAAAAAGATACTTATCTAATACCGCGAATAGATAAACTACTAGCTTATGTAACGGTTCGAGTACACACTGAACTAACATCCGAAAGGGATCCGAACATGGGCACGCACTAGCCGAGGGCAGATCTGCTGATATAAAACCCCACCTTCTCCATACCGTAGCTCGATAGATTTTTGATATCCTTTCGTACAAGGCCTATAGGTGTCTATTCGAATTAAGGCTCGTTTGATGTCCCACGCACTCCCATATGCCTCTGAGTGACACTACCGCCGATACTGATCCGAGTAGTCTTGCCTGCGCCGTTACATTATATCAAAAATCTCACCACCGCCGGTGACGGCATTCAAACAATATCGCAGCTGTCTGTTCAGACTACATCCAAAACCAAGTGTTTCCGGAGTTGATCCGGAACCTTACACCGTTACATCTAACATTCACATAGACAGGATCCCATTGATCTCCTGTTGACCGAAGCCTTTGGGTTTGGAATTTCTGTACTCACGCGAGTCGGATTAACTTCGGAAAAG